ACCTCAGCCTCCCAAAGGCGCGGGATTACAGGCTGAGCCACCGAGCCCGGCTGATTACAACTTTTTATTCTGCCTTTTCAATAGAACTTTCAGATTTTGATTTGACTTGATTTGATCAGAAGCCGTAGAGTTTTGAGTTTCTCCAGAAACGCTTAACAGGCTCTGTGACACGCGACCCTTCCTGGTTTCTTCCCTGCGTGGTCATCGTGACCCCGCGTCTCAGTGGTTGTGCTGTCTATTCACATTTCTGGGGGATGTTTCTGGTCATGTCACTCTGCGTCATGGTCTCTCCGCCTGCCTCTGCGTTCCCATCTCTCCCCTTGTCTTTCCGTGTGTGTGTGCACATATGTCAGACTCTCCCCCTCTCTTCTTCTGCCTGTCACTCATCCCCGGTGTCACCGGGCCCCAGCAGATTGCTACGTATTCTCTTCCCTTCCTGTGGTGACAGTTGCTTTCTGCCATCCATCCACTGGCATGCCTTTCCCTCTCCGCGCTGAGGACCAGCCTTCCTGGGGGTGACAACTCTCTCCTGTAGCCCTGTGGCATTTGTCCTCACATGCACCGGGGGCCCGTCCTCCTGTCTCCCTGGCATTTTGAGATGCATACTCAGTGCGGCACCACTAGCCCTTTGGGAAAAACACAGAGAGAGGGAGCCAGGGGCTGAGGGTGTTCAGGGGGACAGCACCACCGTCAGGCAGCCCTGATTCCGTCGCTGGTAATCTTCGACAGCCCAGTGCACCTCTCTTCACCCGGTTCCTCGCCCGAAGGTGGGGACATTAGCAGCACCTGCCTCATAGGGCTCCCATGATGCAGTGAGCTGATACCCATGCAACACCTAGCATGCAGCAAGCACTCAGTGCCCATTAGCCACTGCCCCACGGTGTCGTTTCTGGCTGTCCATCTTCTACCTGGAACCTCTGTGCTCCCCCAAAGCCTCATTTCCACACTCCACTCAAGCACTCTTCTTCTCTCGCAGTGAGAGTGACGTCAAGCAGCTCTGGCTGCAGCTGAAGAAGGACGAACCTCACCTTCTGTCCAACTTCGAAGATTTCCTCACCAGAATCTTCTCCCAGCTCCAAGAAGCCCACGAGGAGAGGAACGAGCTGGAGTTTGCCCTGAAAAAGTGGGTACCGGCTGCCAGCCGCTCTCTGTACAGAGGTGTGAAAAACAGAAACGCAAAGTGCGCTTTCCCTTGTCTGCCACCGAAGCAGTCTGTGACGCCCCCTTGTCACTGTCTGCCCAGGTGGGGGCTGGGCCCCGGGGCTGTCGTGACGTACCCATCTCGAAGCCCTTGCCTGCCTATACAGGCGCCCACCTTGGAATATGCCAGGCATGATTCCAAATCCTGTGTAGACACCAGCTTGCGTAAGTCTCACCGCAGCCCTTGGAGGTAGGGACTACACCTCGCTGGGGACCTTCTGCAAGAAGGGGATCGAGACTCTGAAAGGTTACGTAGCACACCCCAGAGACACAGTCTCTAAGTGGTAGCACCAGGACTCGGCGAGGTAGCCTGGTGCTTGTGGCTGGAAGGAGAACCCCTCTCCTGCCTCTGGGCAGTAAAGCCCAGCATACCAGGCCTCCCTCCAACACCCTGTCAGCACGTCTTGAAGAGATGGCGTTTCTCAGGCAGTCCATGGCTCTATTGTAAGTCTCCCCTCCTGACGATTCCCTCCCATGGTGGCCTCACATCCCTTCTCCTGCCCTCTCTGCCCCCAAGGCCTCTCCTGGAGCCAGGACCAGGCATGTTCAACAACGCCCGAAGCACTGAACCCCAATCAGCACAGGCAGGCATATCGAAAAATCGGGGGCAAGCCCAATAGATGCCGATCGCTTTGTGAGAGCGGGCGTGTGGTCACGGGCACTACTCTGTTCACAGTCCCTGCCCACACGTTCGTAGCCCTGAGCTCATGTTTTCTGAGGCATGGAGTTAGAGGTGGTGTAGATGGGGACGGTTCCTAGCCCTGCGGGTGAGGCCAAACCACAGGGCCGACTTGGGCAGAGCTTGGGAGCTCACCGAGGGGCCCCTCTGTCTGGCCGCCTCTGCCGGGCACTCTGGTCCACACCCGGGGATTTGCCCACGCTCTCTAGAAACTCTCCACGTGTCCGTGGCTACGTGACTTCACAGACCACCCATCCCTTTGCTAGTAGCTTCCGGCAAAGCTTGGTGGAGGCTCGCACCACCTCCTGCATGGCCGGGTTTCAGAATCTTTGCTGAATGAGATGGTCTGAGCCCTAAGTGACAAGAAAGAGCTCACTGTGTGCCTTGTGGTGTAGACCACTTTCTACACATTCTCCTGAACCCAGGCTCCTTTTCATCGTGTGCCTGCCCCTACATCCACTCTCACAATGGTCTGTTGGGGTCCACGGAGTATATGTGGGTCTGCCAACATAAAGGACCTTTAAGACTCTGCATTTTGGGGAAGTTGAGGCCAACTGTGGCTAGAGGAAATATGACTGGGAGGGAGGATTAAGAGCATTCTGGGACGAGGCTCTCAAGGTTCAGAGAAGGGATGGGTTGAGGGGTATACTTCTATGTTGCCTTTAGCTAATGAAGCCATGGAGTCAGACAGGACTGAGTTTGAATCTTGATTCTGCCACCCACTAGCTGTGCAACTTGGGTCAAGTTACTTAACCTCTCTGAGTCTCAGCTTCTGAGCTATAGGATGGAGATGGTCATGGTATCCATCTCACAGAATTGTGGGGATTAAGTGAGATAATGCATGTACCTAGTTAGAACAGTACATTCACGTAAGTATTCAACGAGTGTCAACATAATAATTACTATTTTAAGTAAGTATCTCTGTCAGTCTTAGAGGATTTGCCTAGCTAAAGTGGAGAGCTTCAGCCTTGGTATCATCAGAGGTGAAGCTTAAGGATCCTTTTTGTCCTTCTAGACACCGTGGGGTAGGGATTCAAAGTGGAGTCCAGGACCAGCAGCGCTGGAATCGCCTGGAAATGTCTTAGGAATGGGGAGTCTCAGGCCTCGCGCCTGCCCTGCTAAATTCCAGTTCAGAAAGATGTCCAGGCACTTCCCTTGTAGCTTCGAGAGGTAGGAGGTTGGGCATCAGGAGATCTGAGTTCGAGTCGTGTGTTACTTTGCAACCAGCTGGCTCCGTGACCTTGCTCAGGCCTCTTGGCTTCTCTGAACCTTGGTTTTCCCATCTGTGAAATGAGGGGCCGGATTCATTTCTGACCCCACTTCACCCCCCATCCCTCCTGATGCCAGAAATGATCAGCAAAAGGCAGTGGCCTCTTAGGAGAAAAGCGTAGCTTCTGTTCTCTAAGGAAAATAATTGTGGCCTGAACTGAAGAGCGGGCAGTGACCCGGCCATGGCCTGGAGTCACATCGGCAGGGCCTCCTCTGCAGACCCGCACTCCTGCGGGGAGAGACAAACAGCCCTGGCTCGCTGGAGAGCCTCGTCGCCCTGACATCAACCTTCAAACAGTCTCTGTTGGTGCTTTGCCCCAATTTGGGGAGTGCTTTAAAAGTTGTTGAGTTGAAAGTCAAGGCCACTCTTGCCCAGCTGAAGGTTCTAGCCCTCCATGCCCATCCTCAGTCATTACACCTGCCGGCTACGCCTGCCCTAAAGTCGGCCGATCAGGGCCCACCCTGGCTGGGGGAGCTCCGGTGAGGCTGGGGACTCACTGATATCTCTGGCCAGTCCCATTCCGGAAGCGTCCTTTGGATGCAGGACCAGAGAGTTGCAGGTTGTGGTGAGCAGAGCTCAGACAGGAGACAGGAAGAACCGAACTCTCACCCAGGCACTACCACTTACCAGCTGTGTGACCTCAGGCAACTTGCTTTACCACTTTGTGCCTCCGTTTCCTTATTGGCAACATAAGAGAGTAGGGTGGATGCTCTTCAAGCTTTTTGTGATTGCAGCTCAGCAGAAGAAATGCATTTTACTTTGCAGTCCCCATATACTTATATGTATGTATGACTGAAACAAAAACCGTGAAATGGTACTTACTCCTCTCGCATGTGACACACTCTGATGTTTTCTGTTCATTGCTTTTATTCTCTTCTATTAACAAGACAAAAAGGTTGGTGTCACCAACCTTTTTGCTGGTGGACTTAGCCGAAGTACACTTGCAGCTCAGAAGTCAAACAAGAAACTGCAAATCCGAATTGAGTATAGATTTTGAGGGGGTAGGGGGAGGGAGTCAGAGTCCCACTCTGTTGCCCAGGTTGGAGTGTGCCGCAGCACCGTCATGGCTTACCAAGGCCTCCACCTCCTGGGCTCAGGAGATCCTTCCACCTCAGCCTCTCAAGTAGGTGGGACTACAGGCGTGCACCACCACACCTGCTATTTTTTTTTTTTAACTTTTTGTAGAGATGAAGTCTTGCTATGTTGCTCAGGCTGGTCTCAAATTCTTGGCATCAAGCAGTCCTCCCACCTCAACCTCCCAAAGTGTTGAGATTATAGGCATGAGCCACCGTGCCAAGAGGGTATAGAATTTTTTAAATGGGCTTCTTTGCAAATGAACAAGGGTGAGGTTAAGTGAGCCTGAGGCATCATCTAGAAAGTGAGTTTGGAGGTTTGAACTTGTTTGGGGAGGAGCACTTCCAGGTTTTAGAGAGGGATGTGGGAGGGTGCTCTTGGAAATGGGCTGATTCAGGATGGACTCTGGAGAAATCCAGAGAGCAGCGAGGACGAGGGAGCTATCAGAATACCTCCCGGGCCCCCACATGGCCACCTTTCAGGTTAGGGGATGACATTCAACTCCATCTGGAGAACAAGCACCTGTCCCAGAGGCCAGAGACGAAAGCCCAGGTCATGACTGCTATGTGTCCAGCCCTGGGGATACCCAGGCACCAGGGGACACGGGGTGTTGCCAGTAGCTGGCACTGAATGACTGCTTCCTCTGTGCGGGGCCCAGAGTTAAGCAGATGGAACAGAGTCCCTGACCTTGAGAAACTCCGGATCATATTGATGAGACAGAGCTCAGATCCTAGAAATTCTGTGCCTGACAGACGAGAAAACCTCCTTGCTGTTGAAACACTGGACAATGTTTCCATTGCCGGTGACACCAGCCTCTGCTTCCTCTCCCTTTTGCAAGCCACCTACCTTGCTTCTTTCTCCCACCAGGCTCAGAGAAAATGAGACTGACCTCCAGGGGCGTCTGGCCTCACGGGGGTAGCCAGGATGTACACTGGCTAGCCCCAGCCTCCTGGGGACATGCCCAGGGTTACGGTGTTGCTGCAACCAGTAGAAAAGGTCCCCCTCCGGCTTCCCCTTCACATGCACCCCCGGGTACCAGGAGGGAAGAGGCTGCAGCCGTGGTGGATGGAATGCTCCGGAAAGCCCTTGGTAGCTGATGTCAGGAGACACCCTCAGAGCATCTTGGACATTGTCAGAAAGCCCTCCTCCCCTCATGGCCATGAAAATTTTTAATGTGTATATTAGAAATAGAGGCGTTCCTTTTTCTCCACAGCCTCGCCAGCATCTGTTGTTGTTTGTTTTCTTAATGACGGCCATTCTTACAGGGGTTAGGTGGTATCTCAATGTGGTTTTGATTTGCATTTCTCCGATGATGAGAGAGGCTGAGCACTTTTTTCGTGTGTCTATTGGCTGCCCGTATATCTTCTTTGAGAAGTGTCTATTCATGTCCTTTGCCCACTTTTTAGTGGAGCTGTTGGTTTTTTTCCTTTCGGTGCGTTTGAGTTCCTTGTAGATCCTAGATGTTAGGCCTTTGTCAGA